ACGCAATATAATGCTTTTGCAAGATATTTTGTTCGGTAAAAAATAGCAAAATCAACTCACACTTCTTTATAGTGAGCTGCCATTTTAGGTAAAGATGTGTGATTTACCGTTAATCAAACGCATGCTTATTGATACCTGAATTTTTTTAAAAAATGACAACACGCTGTTGATATGACCATAGTGTCCGAACTTTTGGGCTAAACCAAAGGATACAACTGTCTAAAATTTTGGAAATCTAAACCCCTTTGGATTGTACTGCAACTGTGGTACTGCCCTTGATTGTTAAACTCAATATAAGAAAATCTTCAAAATCCTTTGGGTCCTACGAAGCTGCATTTGTGTTTAAGTGTAAGTGTACCTAACCCTTTGAGTCGCACTTTCATGATATCTGTTTCAAGTCCACTCCTCAAATGTATAAACTTTCACTCCTTATGTGGATAATGACACTAAATCTGGGTGTTTTAAAGAGAAGCTAGAGTCAAGTAGCCTTATTATACCCTCATGGAGGCCTTCCGGAATTTCGGTTAGGTATAGGCAGATCAATTAACAACTCGCAGATATGGTTTGCCAGATTGGGTATCTTTTTAGCAGTTTTGAATATGATACGATGTTTTAGAGACTCTCTCCAAGTCTTACATCTGTATGTCGGGCAGTAACGGCTGTTACGGAGGCGGTTGATCGGTTAAATAATACTTTCAATGCCAACATGAAACACGATGAATTCGTTTCCAGTATCAGAGTAAGTAATTTTTTTGCTTGTCTGATTTGCTTTCTTTTTACTGGCTCTCTGTCAAAGGATATTACATCGAAGCTCCGAGAGATGTTCGCAGAATCGACGGATGTATTGGGACAGATGCCCGAAGACAGAAGAAAGGAGGTGTGATTTTTTCCATAAGGACTTGATTGCTAAACATAGTTAATTAGTAAAACCGTTTTTTTAGGTGGAAATGTCCGAAGCTCTGATTGGAAACGATATGCGACAAATGGGCAAAGTAGTCCAGCAAGTTGTCGATAATACAAATAATCCTGTAAGTTTTAAACATCTCAGTAACAACGCGGTCCTCCTTTTAAAAACGCGATGGCTGGACCAGCAGATTAATGATTATCATTGGATCAGCATTCAAAGAGAACGCAGATCTGTTTGTGCGCATTAGGCGAAGGCGAAAAGCCGAAGTTAATATCGAGGGAAGGCTAATTATTTTCAATATTAACCTTCAAACACCTAAGATTTAGCTTGATGAATGCTTTTTTGTCTCACTATTCGTATACCACTGTTCAGTTTTCTTACAAATCGAAATCTCGCTTATTTTTT